GAGATGCAGCTTGCCTTTATCGGCGAATGCCAGCGCTGCAGGTGAACGCCTCGGCTGCTTTTCACCTTAAGAAAGATTTGTGCAACGCCTTCCTAACAAGAAATTTAGCCAGGACACGAGGAGCGGGCGCCTCACCCTCCCCGACCATGAGCAGGCACGTGGGTTTCCATTTCAGCTGAAATGCGCTATTACATTTTTTCCGGTTTTCTCACGTCCCCGTAGCTCTGAGGCAATGCTTTGTCTCTCCCTTGGCGCTACTTCAGTTAATCTCGGTAGGTCACGCTAAGCAGTTTTCTGAGTTTTGCTACCCCTCATTTGTCTCCAAACCCTAGACGAGGGTTGGGAGCGCTCAGCAGCACGGATGCTGCGTACCAGTCCCGCTCCCTGGAAGACACTTGCCTCCTGGTCAGAGACTGACTGTCTTACTCGCGCATTCCTGTACACCACCCAGAATGAGTTCGCTACCCCCCGCCACCATCTCTGGGTTTTAGCATTAGTGCCTTCCAGCTATTCATGGGATACCGCAAGGGTCCGTGCTGTGCTGCCCTGTTAGACGTGCAATGAAGAATGCAGAACACCGTCGTGTACAACTGAAACTAGGCGGGGGAGTTGCTGAAAACACTCCTTGAGGACAAATAAGCCATGAAACAAAACAACTGGTGACAAAAATACAGACGGGAACTATCAAAATGAAAGATGAGTCAAATATTTAGAGGCACAAACCAATAATAATCTGAAGCAAAGAGTCCGTGACAAGAAAAAAAGTTCAGAAGAAACAAATGCGAGAAACCCCGACAGAAATCACAGTAAGATTGCGGAAGTGCTGGCAATGCAATGCGGTAGCCCTATAGCCCAACTTCCCAGGCTTCCAGCAACGTGTTCGGTTTGTTCAGGATACAGACAACATCTGTGTGCTTATTTGCCTTGCCGAGCCTGATGGGAGCTTTGTGCATTACAATCATACAGGTAGCAGCATCAAAAATGAATCTAGAAATTCAAGGAAGAGGAGAGAAGCAGAGGGCATAGGGTTTGACTCGTAAGGAAAGTCTATGGGAAAGGCTACCCAGACCTTGACCATACAACGTATTGTCAACACAAGGAGGTGAGCACAAGAACTGTACGTACTTGATGTTTTGCCGATAGATGTTTAGAAAGAGGTCCCCTTCAGAAAGGAGGAGGGTATGCGCCCCTGCCCAAGATCAGGCCTCGGTCACCGTCACTAACTCGTTTTCTTTGCGCCCTTTCCATGACCAGAAAAAGGACAACTCAACAGGCAACTCAAGTCTTCCCCAGCAAAGTGGGCAAATTCCTCCCCTGAGTCTAGAACCCAGCCCTCCAGGTTCAGTGCATTCAAAGGAGCATTTAACGCATCGGACCCCCAGGGTGCCAGAGACGTGGAAAGATACAATGCTGGAGGCCAGCCAACGATATGATGAGGTATTTTGGATGATGTAATAAGAGGCGATACTACAATCAAGATCCTGGATACAACAGAATCCATCTGAAAGGGATTGCAGGATTGATCCTCAAATGCTTATGCTGGTTTTCTAGCACTAAGTCTTTGGCTTCCAAAATTGGTCTTGAAAAACTAAGTGAAATCAAGCTCATGTGCTACTTTTGTGTTTTACTTCTGTGATCTTTTCTTGATTTGCAGAGCTAACAAATTCTCTTCCTCCGACCATCAGGCTAATAATGTAAGTTGGAATATAGGATTCAGGGATAACTTTAGACATTTTCTGGCTGCGGGACAGTTTAATCTTCTAGAATATTGCAAGTTTAACTTTTTTTTATTTTAGTTTTAGCTTTACCTTTACATTACAGTTATGACTTCATTGTTAAAAATAGCTCTTAATGGACAAGTCCTTTGTACCCATTATGAACCCACTAGGATCATTCACACAGATGTGCTTCCAAGATCAAAGCCTGTTAGTGGCTTTTTGCCAAGACAATTAAAGACTTAAAATACCAAATACTTTATACTGAAATAAAAAAAAAAAAACAACAAAGCAACACATAGAGCAATTGCTATTAAATTGCTACTAAAAATACGGCACAAGCTTTTGAATTACATTGGTTCCCTTACAGTCTGCAATCACCGCTGACTAGGAGAGGGTCTTCCAAGTCCAGGCCGCCCTTCGAGGTCCCACAGTTATTGAAATGCAAGGACCTGTATGACCGAACATCTTTGGAGCCACGAGTGCCACTAAATCAAATCTTACCTTAATGACTCTACCAAAGTTAAATGGTGCAATCTTCCATTAAATGTCCCATTTGTTCCAATCAATTTATTTCTGGGACAAAAATGTAAGAGGTAGAGCTAAGATCCTGCCATAATAAAAAATCTTAAGCGAAAAAAGTAAAATTACAAAAACACAGGAAACAATACTTCACATTTATAAGGTACTTTCCATCTCTACCACATTCCTGTATCTTTAACACCGCAAAGTTTAGAGAGATTAATCACATGTGACTTTTGACAGGCGTCCAAAGGACATATAGAGCAAATACCATAGTGAGTTGGGACCTCTCTTTTGCCAGAAGGTGACCACACACAAAATCACACGAGAGAGAAACTGGCCCAAAGCATATTAGGAAGTACATCTCTAGCCATCGCTTTTCCTTTTCAGCCGTTTAACAAATCACAATTTCTATCTCTGTGAGGTCTCCAGAATCAATCATCTGGGAACTCATCTACTTGCTGCTTATTACATTATTTTTTCCTGACTGCCATAGGCTGTTTTGAAAGCCTCAGCTATTAAAATAGCTATCCTACAGTCAGCCCCAGGCAGGAGGAGGAGTCTTTCCACAGAGAACTCTTTGCAGAGTTGGGCCTAGAGCCCAGATTTTCAAAGGGGCTTAGCTGCCTAAAGACGTAGGTAAGGGCTCAGCGGCGTTTCCACAAGCTTCTAATTTTTGGTGCTACATGTTTATGCTACAGGTTACTGCAAAAGTTTTGAGAAAGCTTTCTTTGGATGCCCAGTTTGCACAGAGATCAAACTCTCTGAAAGTTTCCGTATTTTTTCTCCTCTGTTGTCTCATTTCAATTGGACAGTTACTAGAAAAAAATTTGAAAAAAATGCTAGGACTTAGAGGTATTTTCCAAACACAACTGTAAGAGAAGGACATATGCTACAAATACAACAGAAAGGCTTGACAGAGGAACATCTATGATGTGGATTAGGAAGTCTAATGACACGATCATAGTAATAATTTCTAGCTTTAGAAAGCTAAAAAAACCCCAAACAACCAACCCAAAACAACCCAAGCGACCCCAAAATCAAAACCCCCACCACAGTTACTTTGGCCTTATCTTGCTGCATAGAAGTCCAGTATTGAGCTGCTTCCTTTTTGCTTCACAGAGGCAAGTTTTTTTTAATATTAGTAGCGTTGTTGTTTATACCAGCACAACAGTGGACTCTGACCCCATACGTAACATACAAAGTATAGTAGTGGACAAAAAGCTGATTAAATCATGGTCATCTACCATCAGATATAATCTTTTGAACTCTTGTTTGTACTTGTCTACTTTATTTACAATATAGCATGCAACATAACAGCAACAGACCTGTGGGGAATAAGCTTTGGCCCTGCCTCCAGTTTGTAGGCTATATTTTTCAGTGTGGGTATTGGCGTTGCTTCATGCTATAACTGCAGTTTCCTGTTTTGTTTGGAATACACTTGATGTATTACAAAATTACCCTTAGTAATAAATAATGTGTCGTTTGCTGCTACGGGGGAAAGATGATTAAAAGCGTTCAAAAACACTGCTTACTTCTCAGTACTCCCAACTGCTTTCATAGTTAACTTTCTGGTTTTGTTCTCTTACAAATACTGATAACACAGAAAATTTTCTCATAGAACAGGAAAAGGGCGTTTTACGTTATTTCTAGTGCACAGATGGTGGGGAACATTCTATCTTTGTAAGAAAAGCCTTTTCTATGGTTCGTAAAGATACTCAAAGGTAAAACTTAGTGCGGCACACATAAAAAAAAGTGCGGGGGGTTTGAGATCAGTGAGTAGACAGAGATCTACAACTTGTAACTGCTCATTGCGGTTAGGATTAGGAAGAAAATCGACAGGTATGCAATATTTCACCTTAAGCAAGCCCCACTATAATGTAAATATTTTGAGTGATTTCCAAGCCCCACTGTAGTTCAAGGCTAAACATTCATCCACTTATTAGGAACCAGGAAAGCTGAATTTTGCCACTGTTTCTACATCTGGGAACTCGGAGCTAGGCTTAATTTTTTTTTTTTCCTGCATGACATCTTTTACTTAAGTGCCACCCAGCCTGCTAGATCTGAGATCCCATGCTGTTGTTCAGGCTTTACATGTGCAACCCAAAGCTCCATCTCTGCCGGGAGTCATGGAACCCTCGCATAATTTCTTTGATGACAATATCGCAAGAAAGAAAGGAACACAAACTTAGCAAGGGAATTACCCAGCCACCCGGATTTTAATCTTAAAGCACACAATGACCACAAATAGCTGAGAACAGAAGACCTATACAGTACTCCCCTAAACACCCGCTCCCAGCCACTCTGTACCTACTGGACTCCTCAGCAGCACTGGGTGGGTGGCAATGTCCAGCTTAGGTCCTTCAGACCAACTGTCTCCATTCAGCTGTCCCTCT